CCACCTTTCAACACATCGCCTGTGAATTGCCTGTTACAAACACAAGTTGCAAAGCCTTGCTTTAGTTGCTGAATTGTGCAAGAAGAAAAGGTACATCGGAAGAACGGCTCAGCTCAGAAGGCCAGAGGATAAGAGATGCAGAAATATGTAAAACAAACAGCAACAGGTTTGAGAAACATTTATATTGTCATCTAAGGCAAACTCCCCTTACAAAGGAAGCTTTCTTTAGTAGTCATATTAATAATGGAAAATAGAGCTCTATGTGCATGAAAAGCTTTTTAAAGACTTTGTCTCCACAAAATATGGGTAAAAGCATCACTGATCAGCTGGTTTGGCACAGACGCTCAGCAACACAACAGAGCTGTGGGCTTGGGTTTTTTTTGATTTGTGCCACTATTTTAACCATTGAAGACATTTCCGTAATTTCTTCAGCACTTTGAATAGCCCTAATTTGAGGTAAGTAAAGCAAAAACTATAGAGAGGCATAGATCCGTCTGGCATCAGTATGTCAGGATAACTAATGATCAGTTAGTAGAAATATCACAGTCCTACACAGCTTAGAGTATTCTTGATTAAACTACTGGCATGGGACCACTAGGATTTACAGAAAGATTGCTTTTTTGTTTTCTTTTCCTTTTACACTTTTTTGTCTGCCAAAGTATATTATTTAAAATCTGCTTGCTACAATTTCATTTTCAAGCTTATTAGAGGCAAATGTTTCTCAGCCCAAATTTGGTTCTGTTTCTTATGAAGAAACAATAAAACCCATGCCCTCTAAATGCAATTCTGGGATCAGGCTTTTGATTCAAGAGCTATAGAGCAGAAGTTCAGGTATATATGCACAGTAGCATGTATGAGAAATTGCCATACCACCTTGCCTGAGGGCACATAATTTCCCATAGCGTTTATCTCCCCCTCAAAAAAGGGGATAGATTTGGGGTAGGTGGTTGATGCTCAGTATCAGTTCTTGCAGAGTCTGAATTTTTTCATTCTGTAAATGAAGCACATCAAGAACGGTTTGTGTTTTTCCACTATTGTTTGTAATCTTGTCAAATACGTTTCCCTTTCCCTGTCACTCTCAAAACATTTTGGAAAATGCTACAACTGGATCCTTGCTGCATTTAAAACATCCTCACAGTAATCACAAGCAAGAGGAAAATATTTTTAAAATTGCATATGTTTTAAAAATTATTTTCATTTCCATTTGCAAACTCAGAATGTCACAGAGACATGAGCTCAACATAAGGCAGAGGTAAAAACATTTATTTGTCTAACTGTTCTTTTCATACTATATCATTTCATTTTAGGCATGATGTAATTCTGCACATCTTGTACGTTTTAAGAATTAGTTTGACAATAACTACAATATGCCGCTAATATTTGTACACTAAAATTACTGACATACAATTATAACTTCACTTTTATCTCAGCATATTTCCCCACTCCCCAGAAATAAAATAATACTACTTGCTATTGCATAGGAAATCCCATTTTTAAAGCACTGAAGCACTTAGAATTCATCCAGTGCACAGACTTAAGCAATGCCAAGTTCATTGATGGTCTAGTCCTTAAAAACACTTCTAAAATCAGGGATGAGCATGTATTCACTGAACAAACAGTAGTCACATGAAAAATGTAAGCGATTCATGTTGGCAGAAAAGATATAAAAGACATGGTAAGTCTGAAAAATTAAAGCACAGTGCTGAAGGCAACAGATCAGATGTCATTTGTTGGCCAAAATCCCTGTCAAAGCGATGCTATTATTAGGAATAAGTTTGTAGAAACTTGTCATTGAAGGAGATTGACTTGGCTAAGAACCTGACATCCCCGTTAATCCTCTCAAGCCAAGTATAAGTACGGTCTGGCCTAAAATTAATAACCCCTTTTCTGTGTACTGCAGCACAGGAACCTTTACAACATTATTTCCAATGTCTTCAAGCCAAAAAATAAAGCAGCCTTTTAACCGGATACATTTTAGGCAAAATATGTTGTCTTCCTCAACACAGGTGAATTGGAATAGAATTCTAAAATAAGTGATGTGGGAGGCTGCATCATCCATGGATTTTGTCACTAAGGAGAAAGGTCGAGACACCATCTAACTGACAGTGACTCTTTATTGGAGTGTACTGTGAAACAAACAGGAGTAATTTCAGTATCTTTGCATGTGTTTGTATGCTTACATGTACACATGCACGCAAAGAACAGCACAAACAACCAGAAGGACACAGAGATGCCACCTAAATCTCTCTTCTTGTAACAAAGGTGCAGAGGCACTGTTCCACAAAAATTCTTTGACTTACCTTGGGAACAAGACAAACCATTAAGTGAGAGAGACTGGGGACACGGTTTGCAAGGCTATCTGTATATACAAGTACTGTGACTACAAAACACCTTTTAAATTGTAGGCATGTGTTTTACCACCACTCTTAGTGTGCATTCACTCTGCTTAGAGCTGCCAAGCTCTGGCTCTCCGTGGAAGCAATGTGAAGCAGGCAGGAAAGGGAGATCCATGTGTCAGGGCCATTGCTGTCAAATGGCCTCCTCACACATTGCAGATGTTGTTCAAGCATCAGCCAGGGAGCGTGTGGAATAAAAAGCAGCCTATAGAACTTTAGCTGGGGATAAATGCTGCAGAAAGCTTGCAGCACGCTTCCACACCACAAGAGAATTTCACCAGCAGGGAACAGGATCTATACAGGAATCTACGTGTGGGCTGATCTTAGAGGTAATATTGGTACATCAATAATAATTTTACACTATACCAATATTTTTCTTTAGGGAGTTAGCACTAGAACTTCTTGCAAGTTCTAGGCACAATTTGGCCATAAGCATATAACTTATACTAAGACATGAACAAATCCTGTAGAGTATCCATCGGAGATTTCTTTTCCTTTAGAAATCAATTTTTATTGACAAAAGTTGAATATATTCAGGGAAGAAAAATAAAAAAGGGGAAAGATTCTAACCATGCTAAAAAAAGAATAGCTGATAACGATGGGTCTGTGTCACAGTCACAAAAACGATGACTTTATCTCATAAGACCAAATAACATAGATCTGAGAATGCTAGTTAAATTAGAATGTTCAGCATCTTTCAGAAAGGAACCACAGATATTTGAGCTGTGACCATATAATATTGCAGATATTGTATGATTAATATATGGTTTATTGATTTGACAAGTTCTACTATTTTCCTCCAGGAAAAAAGTGAATTTGTGGCGAATGGCGTAATAGAATGGTACAAGTAATTGATGGAGTTCTGCACAGTCTGCTGGGTGAGGTGACAGAATTGAAAAGCCTCTGACATTATTTTCCTGTCATCATAGTGTAAGGTATGACTATAGTCAAAGTAAGTTTAAAAAAATACAATATAAATCAGAAAATGCTAGGGAAAAAGAAAGAATGATTCCAGACTCAATTCCCACATCAAGACCATTTAAAATATCATGTTTGAAATCATTCATAGATGAACATAATTGTTACAGTAAATATTTTACTAAAATTAGGAGTTATATTCCAAATAATTTTATATATAATTAAAAAAATATTTAAAATATATTAAAGTGATCCGTAGCTATATAGTTATACATTTCAGGTAATTCTAGGCTGACTTATTAGATTTGTACATGATACAAGAAATGAAAGAGCAGAAAACTTTACGGATTCAAAAGGCTTTCTTAGAAATTTCTTCTTTTTGTTTACACTTTCCTTTAAGCTTAGAGATATTTCTCCTGCCCTACCCACATCACAGCCCATGCAAGGCTATGCAGTGGAAATTTAAATTGAGAGATAAAGAATTTGTCTCTTGCAGTAGTAGGAAGCTGTTAATAATTTGGAAATCATGAGGGTTTTTTTAAATACGTCTTCCTTTATTGTTGTACGAATATATCCGCTGGTCAGTATAGTTCCTCTAAGCTACTAGCTAAGGTTGTCAAACTGTTGCATATTTTTTAAAGGAAGAAGAATCTTGGAGTTTTTTGCAAAAATATTTATATACTTGGGAAAATAACGATAAAAGGCAGTATGGGAGAGCATTCCTTGCCTTTTAACTTTCCTGACATCCCTTCCCAATAGTGTTTTTAGGAGGTGACTGTCATGTTTGCAGAGGTAGGTTATAAAGCTGTCTGGCTGTTTTGGCCACCCAATATAGTTTAATCACAAGATAAAAACATTTAAAATGTACAGTCTAAGTCATTGAAACAGCCAATTGTAAAAGTGTATATATAAATATATATAAAGCTCATTCAATATAATTATGTAAATGAATGAAATTTTAAGAATCAGACAACAAACTGTTAATGATAAACAAAAAAAAGATCTGCTCTAAAAGTGCAGTTGGCAGTGTAACAGTTTAAACTATTAAATATTTGTGTCTTGTTTGGCCCTAAAGACCTGAAGAATTTTTAATGAAAAGGTTCTCTACCTCTGAGTCAGGTAATGCAGATCTTCGCCAGCTATGGAATTGCAAATCTCTAGGGAATATTTGCAAACAAAAATGCATTCCTCTGTACTTCGATAAAGCATTCAGTTCTTGGAACGCAGGTAAAACAGATCACCAGTTCTGCTTTTTTTCCCCAATAAACTATGTTTATTATGCCAATTCTAATTACCATGCAATCTAATGGTTTTAAGGCTTATATTTTCAACATCACTGGACATCACAAACATGGAAGCATTTTATACTGTCATTATACATCAATGTTTGCACTTGGTTATACATATATACAGAAATTATTCACACATCTTAACCTTGCTATTTCCTCCTTTCAAACCAACATAATTTTACTGTGAAAGCAGCTTTTTAATAAATGGTATAAGAAATACAGCAAGGCACACATTTTTTAAAAACTTTTTTTCTCATTACCACCTCAAGAAGCATAAAAAACCAAAATGTTGTACTTAATTCAGTAGAACGTCAATAGTTACTAATATACAACACCATGTAGCTGTTTCCTGAAGTGTTGCATAGATTAACTTTTAAAATTAAATAAATAAAATGCCATTTATTTTAATTGCTTAACTTTTAGATGTATTGAATCAGGAGGGCTAATGACTTCTTTTTGCTGCAATCCAACCAAATTGTCACTTTAAAAGTAAAATAGATTCAATAAACTTATGCATTATACACATAAATATTAAATTTGATACATAAAAGAGTACTGGCAGGTACAGTTCTGAAAAGATGGACCAGACTGATCATGAATTCTGTGGAACTTCAAAACTTTAAAGAACAGAACCAGTGAAAAGTAGTACAGGAGCATCCAGTTTAGGAAGGGGAGGTCATTAGAGGTAGCTTGGGAGAGGAATCCATATGAAAGCAAATGGCCTTGCTACAATACAAGATGATCACCGAAACAGGACTAGCATATGCAGCCTGATCACATAGCCAACATGGACAAATCACATTTGGAAAGAAAATTTATCTTGGGAGTCAGTGTAATGAAAGGCAGTGATACAATGGATTTGGAGGTCATCCCAGGGTTTACAGGATGAACCTGCACCTGAATTGCAGCCAAGTTTCTACAAGGAAACAAAAAAAGTAATAGTAGGTTACAGAAAATGAAGTTTTATTTGTAAAACATAGCTCTTCCAGAACAACCACAGATAGTCAATAAATGATCACATGCCAGAACCTTTAACGCAGAAGCATACAGTAGGCAAACAACGACTTTTAACAGCCTGAGGTACAAGTTAGTGTAAAAAATTGTATTGATGTAGAAAACTCATTGATTTTTGTAAAGACCTTGTTTCTAATGAAACAATGGAAGTCATCAAATCTGACCTTTTCCCTGAATCCTGTCCTCATCCTTACCTGCGAACTTACCTTCAGCACACTCAGAAGTGCATCGATCAATGAAAACATAAGAATTTTCAAAAAACAAGCAACGAAAAGATCTACCCATCACTTCTTTTAGTATTTAGGTGAACATATGGAATGAGATTTCAATGGAGAGGAGGAAAGGATTGTCACAGAAACGGTCCATGAATAGAATTGACTGTGACATCACTGTATTTTTAAACTATAAATAGCTATTTAGACTCTTCTAGTACCAGCAATGAGTTAATTTTTCATACTATAGAATTATCCAGCTCAGAGTTTAGGGTTAAACTATTCTTCAAAGAGCACAGGCTTATGATGAGAATTATGAAGAAATAACTGTCAGAATACAGCTCAAAGATTAGTGCAAAGTACATCTCATAGGCATTTCCTAGGAGGCACTCCAGACATGCATTATGTGCCTTCCAACTTAAGCAGGAATATCTGGATCTATCCAGTTACCTTCTCCTTTGATCTTATTTGCTGTAACTGACCCCCCGCCCCCTTTTATAGAAGAAAAATAGTTACATGAAAACAGTGAAAAGCTCAACAGTTTGTTTAGAAATTAATGAAGAATTGATCTGAATAAAGGGGAAGATTGTATCAAAAGGTTTCTACAACTCTGGCATGAGTTTCACAAATCTATAGTAAGAAAAGTCTCACTGATGGATTATGTCAAGTTTTTAAAAAATTATGTAACTCACAGACAATGCAAGATTATATGTTTATTCTATTTGATTTTTTTTAAAGTCAGCTACTGTGAGGAGCTAAAAAGTCAGACTATTTAAAACTCTATAAAGAAACATTATAGTATCTACCTCCCTATAAAAACCTCTAGGAAAAAAAAAGTAAGCAAAGATTTAGATTATTCTTGTAGTTCCAGTCTCTAAAAGTAAATTATTACATACCAAATATTGTGTAAACCTGGATCTTATTTTTCTGCTGTAATGGATAATTAACTAACAGTCCTTTGCACTTACGTACCATCTTTTATCTGTGGATCTCAAAACACCTTTCAGCAAATAAATCATGCTTCACAGGTCCCATTGACCATTATTCTCATTATTTTTTTGCTAAAGAAACTGAGGCAAGGAAGGAATAAATCATACAAAAAAAAATCTGTTGCCGAGCAGGAACTAACAGTCAGGCCCTGCTGAGTACCAGTCCTGGGTTTCTCCTGGCTGTAGGAAGTGGCAGGATATTCTGGCTAACATGGCGGCACCGTCAGATAAAATCAATTCAGTTTTCTTAAGCCCAAGCAAAATATTTTTTTCCCTAAATTAAACTAAAACATAAGTTTCAATTACAAATTCTGCACAAAAGGAAGGAAATAGCTTTTAGACTTACTTGTAAGAACTAACAGATTACACACGGAGTCTAACGTATCCTCCAGAAAAGACTTTGGACACATCATATAAACCTTCTTAATGTATTGATCTCTACATATACTGAATATGTGACTAAAAAGTCCCAGCCCATTGGTGAGTCATGGGTCACAGCGACAGCAGAAGACTGCATGATCTCACATACAAAAAGATAGTTCTTTCAAGCTGTCCCCTACTTGACAAATAAAATCGGCATAGCTTTATGAGCACCTCTGCTGAAGGACTGCGTGTTGGCTCATACAAGACACTAGTCAGTGCTGACAGATATTTTTAAGCCTGCTTACAGAATTGTTATTATTTTCCCATAATGGTCATTTTTTTTGTAGCACACAGCTAAATAACAGGATTGCAACATTTGGCAAAAATATTTTCTTCACTGTTAATTTTACTCTCCTGTACAGCCAAAGCAAATACTAAACAGTATAAAATCAAACTACAGTTGAAACTGCCTTTTTCAGCTTTGAATTCTGAGTATGCTTTTTAAGGTACATACATACTATAGATAATTTTTCTCTAAGTATTGCAGCTACACATGGAATTACACATTTAAATGAGCTTACAGCACAGGTGCTACAGGAAAAATAATGGTGTTTGCCATTTATCTTTCAAATTAAATAATGTGTTTTTAAATAGTAACTTTTTTCATAATACACTTATGGGAACAACATTTATCTGTCACATTTTAAAAGATGTATTAGTAATAAATGTAAATTACCTTTGGAAAATCAGTAATTAGCCTCATCAAAAAATAAACAATCTGCCACCAAAAAGATAATCTTTAGCATAGTTAAGTATAATAACTGTTATTTGAATAAGTTAACAAATTAGGATAGATTGCTTCTGTAATTCATTCCCCATAGCATGAGAGATAAGTTAAAGCATCAAGCTTGGGAATGGGGGAAGGGAGATTAGACTTTAGTGAAACCAAATCTAGCAGCTCATATTTTCCTTTTTTGATGTGCCAGAGACAAACTATATGTATGGTAGGGCTTTACTACTGGGAATAACACAGTACATAATTTCCATGGAAGCAATGCTATATGTATCAGTTAAGAATCAGTATATCTTCCTAAATGTAAAAAGTGGGGTGCAGTGTGAAGGGCTTTGTTACCTTAAAAATATTTGTCAATCCCTAGGCAAAAATTAAAACTATAACATAACCCTATTAAGTTATTGCATACAGACTCTGCAGTACATTTTATTGTATTGTGGGGCATTTATTAGTATCTCCATCCTCTATGTCCAATCTTAGTCCTTACACCAACTGCATATTGTCATATCCCAGTCTTATGAAAAACACAGCTGGCTACCATGTAAGCAACTATGAAGATCTGAAGAGTGAGGGTAAGTTCATACCATATTTTGAGATCCTCAGAGGAAAAGTACTAATGAATTGAAAAGACTTGTTATCATCTTCATCAGTGAAAGAATGAGAATAAAATCACACTCACTACAGTAAGTATTCTTCCTCAAATTAATATCATAAAAACAAGTGAAAAATGTAAAAAAACTAATAAAACCATAATTTAGGAAAAGTTTGTGTTTACATAATTATCATTTATCAACCTCAGACTTCCATGAGTTTCCAAATAGAGGCTTCCATACACATAATCCTTCTAATATAACTCTAGAATATACAGTATCATCTGTGAGTTTTGTAATTCCAAGTGGATTTCCATTGCTTGGATGTGTCCAAGTATTAACCTAATTGGCACTCAACAGATCATGATAGCCTATGTCAGAGCCTTTCAAGAAATATTCTCTTGCTTTGATGGTTCCAAGATAATATACTAATATATATTACTCAAATAGATATGTGTCAAAAGAGATAGTGGCAAGCTGTAGACTATCGCTGTCATAACCTAAAGACTTTGCTAGATGTATTTATACATATGTGAATGTGTGAATGCTGGGTAAACTGCCAAACTGCCAAAGGAAAACCCAAAGCCTCGTAATACAACATAGCAAAATCAGGAAATGCAGAACTTAGATATCTAATAGCAGCAAAGCAATCTATTCCGTATAAATAGGCCCAGATCCTCTGCTACAGATAGAGTTTGCACTAGGAGAGCACTAGTGGTTTTCACGGGCAGTGATGAACAGCAGTCTTTTCTGCTAGTAACGTCATGAAATCATAGAATAACTAAGGTTGGAAGGAAACTTGAATGTCATCTGGTCCAACCACCTGCTGAAAGGAAGGCTGTTTTTAAAGGCAGATCAGATTAGTCAGGGCCGTGTCCTGAATTTTCCCAGGGAAATCTGGTCCTGTGCTTAGCCTTGTGTTTTACTGGAAAATCCCTTGCTATAGCTTCTACCAAGCAGTGGTATTCAGAACCGGACTGGTATTTTGAGTTGCCATGCTGGCTCTGGTCTACTGGAGGAGTGTTTCCAAAGACTAACGGCATTCTATACAGCTATGCTGGCTTTCAGGTCACCAAACAACTAGTGAGACTCAAAGCAGCAGTGCAACATGCTAGGATCTGATCCAGAAGTCGCTTTGTAGATCTTCTTTTGTTGTTCAATGTGCAGTTATTGTTAGATATTCATATGAGGTCAGAAACTCCAGATCTGAAGAACCTTCAAACTTTGGAAGAGATTAGAACCACTTTTTCATCTTAGGTTCCACCATCTTACTTATGTTTCAAAATGCTTACCACAAAATAGAACCAAAGCTTCCAGTACCGCTGTGTGGCTATCAGTTTCCACTGGCTTTGGTATTCAGGTCTTTATTCTGTATTCCCCTCACATACTCTGTAATGATGTTTCAAAGATTTCTTTTTTTGGTCACCTCAACTTTTGGCCTAGCGCTGTGTTGTAATAATTGTATTCTTAATAATGGCTTACTGAACTTAAATCATGGCAAACTGACATTAAGAGATGACTTCTTAATCTGCTTAGCCATTCTTCATGGCATATCTGGAAATATTGTAGAACTCCAACTCACTAGTCAGCCACAATTCTTGTAAAACCAGAAGTCCAGCTTCATCAAGTGCTTTTGAACACCTCATAAGGCCAGCTGACTGGAGAAGGGGATCAATGAGTAGAGCTGGTTTCTGGTTCCACAGCTCAGTTGAGAAGGGAAGAGAAGGCTGATATAGAAACATCACTTTTGAAGAATTCCCAAGTTCTGCAAGATAGCAGATTTGTCCCAGAAGAGAGCAGTTCCAGGCAGTCAAAGCCAAAGGGCAAGAAGCAGATAGTATTCACTGCATTTATTGACCAGTGGCATGTAAATTGGGATTATAGTGTAATCAAAACAAATACACTATCATAAAACAGAAGCCCTGGATGGTGATTCATCTCCTTTCATCATACAAAAATGTAAAAAAAAAGGGGGAGGGAGCAAAAAAAGTAAAAAAAAAGAATGTGCAACTTGTAGAGTACATACCTGTTTTTAGGATAATGTACGTGCCTGGAGAGGGTTACATTCTATCTGTGCATATTTATATGTCTTTCCTTATGAAGATTCAGGAGATTTTCTTCACAAGTAAGAGTTTTACTGTTCTGGTGCAAAACATCCTTTTCCTGTGAATGGCCAGGCTTTAACTGAAACTCTGTAGCTGAAGCCTCTTCAGAAGCAGCAACACATCCTTTAGGCTCTTCAGTTCCAGGTGATTTTCCTGTACTACTCATTTTAGTGCTAAGCTCTGGAGAATTCTTTTCCAAACTTGCAGTTTGCCCATCTGAAATCAGCAAGTCAGCAGCAGCATTTTTCAAACTGTTTGATGCACTTTGTTTGTTAGCATTGGGTATGCTTAGATCATTGTCATCATCACGTAAGAAAGATAAATCCCTACCTTCAGTTGAAGCTTTAACTTCTTCTAACGACTTCTGAGTCACTTTACCTAGTGACTCCGGATATGTTTCAGAAATAGTGTTAGAAATAAGTTGCTGCTGCTCAACTCGTGCTTCAGCAGTACCACTAGAAATGGATTGCTGCTGCTCAACCCGTTCTTCCTCAGGACAGGCTTCAAAAAAGCATTCAATATTATCTCTCTCATCTGTCAAGTCCAGTGGCACAGGAGTGCTGCTCTTTTCCTCTATGTATTTGATTACCTCTCCACAGTCACTATCATGAGAAGAAAGTGAAAGATAAGAATAGAAGTCCCCTTTTCTTAGCTGAATGGGTCTGTGAGAGTGTTCTAACACTTTTTCCTTGATCTGTGCTAATGAAGCTGGAGCAGATGACTCACATTCAGGTTGTGACTTACTTTTCAAAGCTGTTGATGCCATGTCTATTATCTCCCTCACAAAATTGTGTACTGAATCATCTTCCATGTTTCTTTTATCAAAACCAGCAGATTCACAGTTGCAGCATGAATCAAGACCATTGGCTGAGGAGTCACATTCTGTTTCATTGGATTTCAAGGCTGCACAGCAATCAATAGATTTTTCACTAATGCTTATTCTATGTTGTTGACCATTAGGTAAGGATGTTTGTAAAGCTGTATCTTGTACGTCTACACAATTCATTTCTGAGGAAGATTCAAGACAAGGCTTTTTAGCAGGAGAGGAAGCAACAGAGTGACAATCAGGCTGAAGATGACTTTGACATTCTTTTGGAGGGTTTCTGGATCCGTCTGATGACAGAACAGGCTCCTTGCCATCCATATGTGAATCATCTGAACTGTCTGTAAATGCTTCACAGACACAACACTCACTTTCAGCTTTTCTGACATCAACAGATGCATGTGTTTTGGGAGTTGCTGATGTTCTAACAAGACCTTCCTTTTGACTGCCAAGAGTATTTTCAACATTTCCATTCTCCATATCATCCACAAGCTGATCCTTCACAACCTGAGAGATATCTCTCATCAGGTGACTCTTTATCCCTTTTTCACGATCACATGGTACATTCTTACTATTGCCATTATTTTCTGATATTTTTTGTACTGAACCATTCAATAGTGTTTCAATGCTTAATGTATCTGTGGCTTTTGATGTCTCATTACTGACTTCTTTACTTTGCTGAATTTCATCACTGAGGTTACTTTTTCTCTTCTCCCTTGTCAAAGAAAATTTTGGTCTAATCCAAGTTTGGAGTTCATTTTTTATATAATCAAGTCCTGAAATTAAATTGCATTCTTCATAAATATCCTCATCAGTTGCTATACTGGAGTCATCATCTTCATCTTTGATACCTAGCTCTTCCTCAGTTAAGGTAAGGGTGGAACTTGAAAGCAAATCACTGTCATCTTCATCATCAGTACAAGCAGAAGTGCAGGAGACATTAACAATCATGCTGACATTGACATCACTCTCATCAGCGACAGACCTATTAAGATGTTTTCTAAATGATGCATTTGAATCTGGTATTTTATTTCTGTGCAGTACAATGTCTTCAGAGCAGAGAGAAAGATCCTCGCTGCTGCTGAGTTCAGTGAGAGAAGCTGCTGAGTCTTCATTGATTGAGGATGCAATATCTAGAGACAGCTGACCAGTAAAAGATATTTTTTGAGAGCTACTTTGGAGTGTTATATCAGAGATGCTGCGCTTTATCTTTTGATCTAAAGGACTCTGGATATTCTCTAAGCGATTCAAAAGATCTAATGTCCTTTTGCTGAGCTCTCCAACAGAATCACTGCTTGCACTTATGTCTCCTGAGCCATGATGACTAAAAAGATCTTCGTTGCTTTTGTAGGAAGTCAGCCAGCTCTCCAAAGAGGTGCTTCGCTGAAGACCGTCTCCACTTTTAAAAATACCTGAGCTGAACAAATCACCTACGACAGACAAAGATTCTAATGAAGAACTATGAGATAAAGTTGAAACCTGTCTTGTATTCTCTGTAACAGTTAGTTTTCTTACAGTTTCTGCAGATGTACAGGAATTGGGATCTGATTCTCCAGGGATACTTGCCAGAGTATTGTCATGAATAAACCCATCTGGTTGTGACTGTCCAGGCTTATGTTCAGATTTACCAGGTATTTTATCAAAACTAAACCCACGAAAGAAACTGTCCTCTGTATGTGTTTTTTCAATTTGTGATTGTTTCATTATCACTGGTAATTTGAATTTGGAGCCTTGAAGATATGAGTAATCATAAAATGTAAACACATCATGTTTTCCTTGCAATTCTTCTAGACAAACAGGGTTACACATGGCAATGCTGTCCAAATCCTCATCATTTTCACTTCTACAACACGCGGGAGGTGCCAGCTGGAAATCATCTGAGAGACTAGCACGGTCTTCTTCATCTTGCTTTATTTTTTGCTTTATTACATCAACTATATCATCCACTTGAGTTTCCACATGCCCAATTTCAGGATTACTCTGAGTGCTTTCAATATCATTTAGCAAAAAAATTTCTGAATTATTTGTAGTTTCTGTATCACACTCACTCACTATCCCACTCTCACTCTCAGAATGCCTGCTTATGTTTCCACTCTGATACATGTAGTTATATGGTTTTGCCAGTGTGGTCCCCCCTATTAGGTCTGGCAGGGATTTGGTAGATGAAAATGATGAGTCTTTACTAAGACTTTTGTTTAAAATATTAGACTGTGTTACATTGGAGAGTTTGGCTGCTTTTTTCAAAAAAGGCATGTTTTTTTTTTCTGATAATTCAATATTATGAAGACTATAGACCTGATAGATGTGAGGATTTGGAGGGGAAGTAATGCTGGGACAATAAGTAGGACTTCCACGATCACTGATACTTTCATCTTCATTCACATCATTATCACCACATTCTCCTGAAGCAGGCTTCTGGCTTAGATCATCCTTCTTGAGTTCCTGATCGGGATCACTTAAGTCTTCGTGAATACTGATCAGCTTATTACTTATGTCGGTTTCATCCCATTCTAGTGCATCTTCACTTGGACCATTTAGATCCATCAAACTGGGATCAATAACATTCAGAGGCTCCTGTAAAAAAAAAGTCAAAGATTAAAAATATTTACAGCTGCACTTTAAATGTGCTTCCACTGAAACCATATAATTAAATTAATGGGACTAAAGTGCATTTTTGGAACAATGATCACTAATAGGCTTTTAATTTTGTACATTTTGTGTACCATGAAAATGATCAATTAAAGTGAAACCTATGAAATTTTTCAGTCATCTTAGGTGGGGTTCTTTTTCTTATTTGCTGTCAAAATATAATACAGAAATTTGACTTCTCTTTAACAGATATTAATTGTGGTTAGACATTTTCTATGTAACAAGTTTTAACCATGCTGCAGAATCACACAGGAGTGTGTTAGCAAAAACCATGCAATTAGCGCTTTATTATGTTGGACATAAGAGAATTTCTCTTTGCCTGTTTAAGTTTGAAAGAGCTAAGATATAAAGGATTTATTAGAGGATATTTGAAATGTTTATGAGAAACTTTTGTGTTGTCAGCCTTAAAACAACAGATCTAATGCACTGGAAATCACAAGACTTGATGAATTTTTATTAGAATTTCTATTTATTCTTTACTTCATAATAAAGGCAGTACTAATGACCAATAAGTAAGACTAATGAATGTTAATATCTTCAGCTGCAAGAACAATCAATCAGTCTAATCAAATACTACATGAATTTCAAATATTGTCTGTGCTGACACCTTTCTCTGGGAAAGGGCTGATAAATAATTGAGCTAAACTTGGTTTGCTTTTTTAAAGACTTTTTAAACTTTCCAGTAATATTTGCTATTATGACTCAGAATATATAGCATCAAGAATTGTTCTTTCTAGAAACATGTGAGAGAGAAAGAACACCTTGTCAACTTTTCTCACTCCAATATGTGTCAAGTGGCCAACAGTATGGACTCTCCTTAAACTCCTCAAAATAGGACAGAAGTGGTCCCTGATTTTGCGGCTGGTTCTCTGAGCACAAATTAATTTTACTTTATTTTTTTATTTACTGAGAGGCCTCCATTTTAGGGAAGATTTTGCTTATGCAATAAGTCTTGTAATAGAAGTGTTAACTAATGTAGATATGTTTAGTTTAAATCATCTTAACAGCTGAAAAATGATCACTGTATCCAGAAAAACAAGCGCTTTTTCCAAAAAAACTTTCAACTATGATCTCTCGCTCTCTCGAGCCTTCTTGGAGGAAGTTTTGTTTTTCAAATACAGCATTGATCACACGCCAAAGAGCAATCTAAATCACAACAAACTTACAAAGTTACAGAAATACAGGGAGATAAAATGAGGCTGTAGTCCAGTGAAGTGCAGTTGTACACAACTGAGTTACTGACTTAGATTCATCAAGGCTCAGCCAAGGTTAATTGTGAAGGGGAAGGCAACGTAACTCTGTGATTCTTAGCTGGGAACTCTCGTTTTGAAGTGGGAACTAAAGCTGCTCAGCCCTTTTGTGAGAAATCATGGGATGTTCTCCAACAGCTCGATAGTTAGGGCACTGATTTTGGGCATGGGACACTTTGTCAGACTGAGCATAAGAGACATGAACCAGGTTCCCATTCTCTCAGAAGTCGTTCTACCTACATGCTATTCTGAAAAGAAGCCTGCTTCTCCTGTTTCATGTTACATAAACCAATTAAATACTAATTGGGTCATAGATAGATGAAGAGAATTTTATCCTGTAGTGCAGTGCTCAGCACATTTGTCTAGCAAGAGGCACAGATAGGTCCAAATCCCTGGTACAGTGTCTATTTAATGATGGATATAGGTGGCATTGGTTCTGTGCAAGACACAAAGCTATCCCATCCCTGTATATCCAGTAGACCAATGGCTAAAACACTCAACTGACATAAGGAAGAATTATTTTCTCCAAATTGGTCAGAGTAGCTATCCACCATTCAGCAGGGTGATATGATTACTAATACACTTGATAAACCAAGACATTCCATGTAAGATGTCCTCATGCTTCATTGGGCTTTGTTGTAAGGTAGGTCCCTGAGCACTGCAGCTGTCTTAAGATATCAAAAATAATCATGGGCGGAAATATGGGTGCCAGTGAATTTTTTCCTCCTTGGCAGGTTAGGAGGCTTTGGGTATTTTAAGAATCTGTCATGTCTAATGTTGAAGGGCAGAGTCTCTTTGTAAATCCACCTACCCCAAGGCTGTTATGGACTAGATTTGTTAAAGCCCTTTTGTTTTTTTTCCCTGTAAGATATTGGCTAGTGATAGCTTAAATGTTAGATTTCCATGAAAGCAACTATTTTCTAGACAGCTAAGGCTATCAGAGAAGTTCTGTACATTGTGGAGTTCAGAAATCCATATTTGGATTTGCCAGTTTGCCATGTTTTCGTAATGGCTCCTGGTTGGTTACTTTGTTGGACTCAGTTTCCCACTTTTAGTTGACCTCTAACCAAACTACAAGTAAAAACTGGTGCAAGAGAATGACTATAATTAAGTTGTTCATTTGAAAATCAGTTAAACAAGCAATCAGCTACAATTATTAATTTTCTCTGTGGCATGTTTTACGACTCTGTCGTACTTTGCATTAGGAAGACATTGCTGTGAAAATCTTCCTAACTGCACAATTTTACTGTTTTAAGCTTCTGCCAGCTGCAAAAAGAAATTCCTGAAGGCAGGAAATCAGCAGCAGGTTCCAAGGATTTAATGTTCCGTAGAATCTGATTTTGTTTTTCAAAAACAAAACATTTGGTCCTTATTGGTCAGGAAGATAACCTTCCGCCTGTAAATCAGCACTTGGCTGCCTTGTTTGTTCTGCAAGTCAGATGGACTAAAACAATAAAACATGCAGAGTTGTGACTTCAGCCCATTCATCTTCACTGGGCGCTCCTTGCTTCAAAGCCTATTTTTTATTCTTCATACGCACATGCTTTTCTGAGATCTGGTATATACTCAGAAGTTTTGCAGGTATAGCTATGATGGTAAGGGATTTGACTGTATATTTTTCTTCTGATTGTCACAGCTATACTTCCAAAGGCTCTTATGTACATACGGTTGTTATACCAGCATAGTTTTCTCTTGTCCAAGGAGCTGACTGAGTTGATACTAGTGAATTACTACTTTTCTTATAAGTATCATCTCCCTTGAAGAAACCTACCAGTACAACTTCAGTGGTTACCAGCTACATTGGCAGCCCTTACCCAGTACAGACCAAGTTTTAACTTTGAAACAAACCACTCAGCTTAAGTCACAAATATTTTGTATTTGGCATTTTCAGCAGGCGTATTTTCCCTTTCTTTTTTACAAAATTTAGCAAGCTGTTCAAACAAGAAAGAGACTCTAAATATTGAAGTAGTTATTGGAGAGAGCAGCACCGTACAGACTCTTCAGTAAAGCTCTGGAGTGAAGAACTGAAGGTGGTGTCACTCCAGCCTATGTCTGCACTCTCAGCAGTAGCAAGGTAAAACCCAGGAATCTCTGAGAACTATTTTTATCATGTCAGATTTCTCCTTATCAGGCTTCTCAGTGCATAGGGAGGGTGCTGGAGTATTAGAATTATCATGATAGTAATAGACTATTAGGTCTTGCCGACAGAACATTTAAAAATCTCCAAACTGATCCTTTACTTGGTGTTATACAGAGGATGGGAGGTACAACATCATGAGTGTCAGCTGGTGTCAGAGCTGAATTCTGATTGCTCTTTTTACTGGGAAAAAATGCTGTTGTTTCTTTTCCTGTCTTGTTTCTTACTCCGAAGAACTGTATAGTGTTGCACAATGCATCTTTTACACAAAGCAGACAAATCTTCTATTGCCATTTCCAATTGGGAAAGCTTTACTAGTGTCAGAGCTGCACCGTGATTTTTATTCCATTTCAGTTAATGATGTTTTTAAAGTTTTCACTTACACACTCCAAAAGATGTTCTGCCTAGCCTGGTTCAAGGCATAACCCCTCGAACCACAAATACCCAACAAGAAAGAGGTCTCTCACGGAGAGACATGCTGATCTCCACATGTAAGACAGACTATAAATAAAGAGGAGCTCTGAGTGTGCTACAGAGCTTCAGATTCCAGTGGGGCGAGCCCTGTAAGCTCACTCTTAAATCCTGGCCTTGCTGAAGTCTGTGGCAAAACATGCTGCAAAGGTACCATTCTGTCTGGCAAAAATTCTTTGGATACCAGCTGGTGTAGCTGATTGCACTAAATTTCCTGGAATTTAGAAACCTGTTTTTTTTGTATGTGCAAGAGTGCGTGTGTATAAATACTCGCATATATATGTGTGTGTATGTGTGCATGTATGTAATTTTTCTAAAAATGGGTATATTTAAAGTAAGTCAGACGGACTATATTCTTATAAAGTCCCTAAATGCAACTACTTCTAGAGTAGATCTCGAGGGTCATATGGTTCACAGTAAAAGAAGATAAGCAGTTTTTAATCAAGCAAGTAAAAAATAACAATGTAATAACAACAAAAAGATGCACAATATTATGCATATTCCTAGTTTTAAAATATTACAGAATCACAGAATCACAGAATCACAGAATGTTCGGGGTTGGAAGGGACCTCTGTGGGTCATCTAGTCCAACCCTCCTGCTGAAGACTCCACAACCTCCCCGGGCAGCCTGTGCCAGGGCTCCGTCACCCTCAGAGTGCAGAAGTTCTTCCTCATGTTCAGACGGAACTTTCTATGCTTCAGTTTGTGCCCGTTACCACTAGATAAATAACACTTATGAAGCATTTACTGTTGCATGAAAAGTTTCTAATATAATTAAGCCAAGAATCAATTAAATTACAGACTCTGAAGAGTGAAAGGTTGAATCCATTCTAATGTATTTGAAAGTGCTGCTTTAAGTAGTTTGGCTATTCCTAATTTGAACCCTGAACTACTTTGCTTAGGACAGTATTCCCATTTCAGTGGAATAACTCATGGGAGCAAAGTTAAGTGTACACTTAAATGCTTGTAGGGTTGGTGTTTAATGGTTAAACAGTTAATTGCTGAAAATGTCAATGGGAAGAAATAAGATTATTAAGCCAAATAAAGACGTTTCCTCAACCCCAGTG